GTCCGTTCTGTTCGTACTCTCCATTCTGTCCTTTCCGAACTTTGTGTCTATTCTGCGTTTTCTGGACGTTCGGTTCTTTCTATCCTTCCTTTTCTCTCTATCTTTCTATCTTATCAATTGGTCTTTCTGTCGTTACTATTTCATTCTTGCTGTTCTGTTCTCTTTGTCTTTCGGTTCTATTCTATTCTATCTTTTCTTTTTTTTTATTTTGTCCTATTTGTTTTATCCTTTCTGTCCTTCTATTTTTCTTTTCAGTTCTTTTTATACTTTATACTTTTCTGTCAATCCTTTGTTTCTGTATGTGTATTGATTCTTTCATATCTGTCCTATTAGTTCTTTCTACTCTATCTGTCTTTTTCGTCCTTTTTGTCCGTTCTAATCTTTCTATCCTTTCGATTCCTTATGTTTTCCTATCCGTTCGTCTTTTTTGTCCTTTCTTTTCTTCCTATTCTTGCTGTCCATCCGTCCTGTCTTTTCTTTCCTTTCTGTCCATTTTCGTTTTGTCTTTTCTTCTTTGATTATTATTGATTTTCTTCATCATATATTTTCACATCTTTCTCCCACTTTTGATCTTTTACCGTTTCTCTTTACTAATTTTTCTCTATTTTAATGGTCTTCTTTTCATTCTACCTTCATCATTTTTGTCATATTCTCTGTATTCTTTTCAATTTTATAGTAATTTTGTTTGTTGTTCAGCAAATTTTTCGTATCACTCATCATTCGCTTTTCTATTTCACCATTCCCTGTCATCCTCGCCATTGTCTTTAAATTTTTCTTTGATTTCTACGATCTTTCTCATCTCCTTCCATTTACTTCCATTCGTTTGTTGTCTATTATTGTTTTCATTTTGTAATTTTTCATTCATATTTTCCTATTTTCACGTATTTCTGTTCTTTCGGTCCTTTCCAGTCTTACAATCCTTCTTATCTTATCCTATTTATCCTTCCTTTCATTACTGTTTGTTCTAACTGTTCTGTTCTCTCTGTCTTTTTGGTATTTTCTGTTTTATTTGTTATTTTAATTCTTTCTCTCCTGATATCTTTTCTATCCGATCTGCTCTTTTTTACACTTTCCGTCCAACCCATTTTTTGTTCTTCCTCCTTCACCGTCTTATTTGTTCTATTCTATCTGTCCATATATCGTTTATGTTCTATTTGTTCTATTAGTTTATTTTATCGTAGCTATGCTATCTAATCTTTCCATTTTTTCTGTTTTCCTATTCCATCTACCGGATTTGTATTTTCTGCCGTTCCTGTTTTTCTGTCCTTTCTATTTTTTCTGTCGGTTCAGTTCGTTCTGTTCTTTCTATTCTTCTTAGCCATTTTATTCTGTCTGTCTATAATTCTGTCCTTTCTGCTGTTTCTGTCTATTTTGTCCATTTTGTTCTTTCTCTCCATCCTGTCCTTTCTGCACCTTCTGTCCTGCATTTTCTGCTCTCTCTGCATTTTCTGTGCAAACATAGTGAGTTTCTACTTTTTCTAATTGTTCTTTTTGCCATACAGTCTGTTCTGTCCATTCTCTCCACTCTGTTAATTTTTTCGGTCCTATCTGTACTTTCCATCCTTTCTGCTCTTTCAATTCTTTCGTATTAGCCCATTTTTGTTCTATTCTTTCGCTCCTATTTTTTTGCCTTTTCAGTTCTCTGTACTTTTTGTCCGTTGTATGCTTTATGTCTTTCTGTCTGTTTCTACTGTTCTTGTTCCCTAGGTTTTCACATCATTTTCATTTTCTAAAATTTTTTATTCAAAATCTTAATACCATTTTCTCTTATTCTGTTATTCCGACTGTTTTCTCTTTTTTTCCTTTTGCAGTCCCCGTTCTATAAATTGTTCTATTTATCAATGTCTTCCAAATTCCTTCTTTTATTTCAACTATTCTCTATCGTGTTGTTTTATGCTGTATACTTCTTTCTCTTCTCTTTACTGTTTAGTAAGAAAAATTCTTATTGTTTCTTTTTCCCTTTCTATTTTTCTAAATAATCTCTGTCGACTGTACATTTTTTTGTCACTTATTTCATTTTCTCACTAATCTATTTTCATTCTTTTTGTTTTCTCTTAATGTAATTTTTTCTTATTCTGCATTTTTTCACTTTATGTTATGTTTTGTTTCACTGTTGTTCCCACTTTTTTCTCTTTACATTCACCTTCTCTAAATTGTTCCATTCATCAGTTTCTTTCAATTTTCTTCGATTATTTTAACTATCCTCTCTTTTACTGTTTTATGTCATATAGTACTTTGTCTTCTCCTTACTGTTTAGTACAATTATTATTGATTGATTTCTGTGTTTTTTTTTTATATATTTGCACAGTTTTCATCACTTTTCTTGCTTGTACCGTCCGTTTTTACAAATTTTCCTTCGTTCCACCTACATCATTTTTGTCATGATATGTACATTTCTTTATCCCATTTTTACTGTTTCCTTTTCTCTCTCTATTTTCCTTAAACATTTTTGTCAATGGAATTTTTTTGTCTTCTTCCGTTTTATACGCGTTCGTTCTCTTACTGTTTTCACTTATTTTCATTTTTCACTAATATGTTTTCTCTGTGTTTGATTCCTCTTTTTTCTCTTCTCATTTTTTCATATCCATCTGTCTATTCATCACTTTATTTAATTTGTTTTATTGTTTCAGCTGTTTTTTGTCTTGCTGCTTTATGCTATATATTTCTTTCTCTTCATTTTGTTACAGTTTTATGTTTTATCAGACATATTTTCATATCTTGCTTCTTCTACTGCTATTTTCAGCCGTTTTCTTCATTGCTTCTTCCTCACTTGCCTCCTTGACTTGACTTTTCGATTCGTATCTATATTTCTCTACTCCATTTTAGCGGTTCCTATTCTCTCTATTTTCCACTACTGTTTGTTTATATTTTACGTTTAAGTTTACCTTGAAATTGTCGTAAATAAATTGTGTGTTCATTTTTTCCAAAAAATGAAATAACAAAGTACTTAAAACGAATAACACATTTAAAAATTAATGTCACTGCAGTTGATTAGTTGCAGCCAACGCTAAACCAAAATATTTCCAACATTATTTCAAATTTTTTAGATTATTCTTTTTAAAATATTTATCCCTCTAAATTTAGTAGAAAATCCTCAGTATCTAGTAAAACTTAGTTTTCGATTGGTTAAACCCTCCGCAAAGCCTGCTTACTGGAGGTCCGCCGCCTCCGAGCTCGATGCCAAGTTAACACGACGTAATGTCCGTAAAATATTGCCCATGTCTCGGATTATGCGAGATCGTAACCTGCATGGCCGATCTTTGATGTCGATGAGAACGCTTGAAAAACGATCCTGCTTCTCGGGCTTTTATTATCTCCAAGTTGGTCTTTGTTCTTCGAGACGTTTCCCTTTCGGCAGGACGAGTTCTGTCACTTAACCAGATTAATTACGCTAAATGCGCCGTTTAAGTTGTCTCGTTGGCGGTTTTTACGGCGAAAATTGTACGCTCGGCGGTGGTTTATGAGGGTGCCTTTGCGGCGACTATGCGTGCTTGACAAATGTGGCAAATTGGAAGATGATAGGGATCATAATTCCGACGCAGGAGCCGTGAGACAAGCGTTTTACATAATTAATTATAAGGTCATTATCTTGTTATTAATTATGTAAGAGAATGGTTGTTTTTTGCCTGCTCATTAATCAAATATTGTAAACGCTGATTTAATGCGTTGCGCAATGGGAAGTGCGGAGGATTTACGAGGTGACAGTCGAGCGTTCGTTTCCTTTTTATTCAAATCTGGCGCGAGAGAGTCGCTAAAGTTCACGCGGAACTAGTTTGCTTTTTTTTCTAATGGAATTATGCAAGATGAAGAAGAAAAATTGCCTGCTGTGAAATGCTCAATCATTGATACAAGATAGATAATTTTTTTGTTGACAGTCGATTTAAGTTAACAATGTTGCTATTATTTCTTGATTGACATTACCGTATTTGTGGCTGATAACGCTGCTTCTGCTTGTAATTAAAATCGATCGTTGAACTTTACACTCAACGAAGTGAGGACAACGGAGTGACAAAGAGTCGCGGATTTTATTCAGATCTCCAGGACCAAGATCCGCGATCTGAAGTCCGCTAGTCCGGGAGATTAGGATTTTTTATCTTCGGGTTTTCTTGTCATTTATCACCGCGTTTTTTCACTATCTGGAATCAAAAATGTGTTTAGTGGTTTCGATTTCCAGGTCGAGATCTTCAAGATTAGTCAAGATTAATCAAAATCGCGATCTTAAGAAAAATGGTAAACAACCTTGACGAAATATTGACGAAACCATTCTTAAAATAAAGGTTACAAGATTTCACAACACTGTTTTACGCTAGAAGAATAAGCAAAATTTTCTAAAAAAAAAATCAACCGAAATTCTCAAAATCTTTTTGTCTTTTCTGGAATTTCTGTATTTTGCAACCATTATGTTCTTTTTCTTGTCTTTGTTATGTGCTTTTAGTGTAAATATTTGTCCTATTTGCTCTTTTTGTTTCGTCTGTTTTTCTGTCCTTCTATTTTTCTATCCTTTCTGTCCTTTCTGTGCGTTCTTCTGTTCTGCCACTTCTGTCCGTCGATCTGTTCTTTGCATTCTCTCTGTATTTTTCTATCCTGGCTTCTTTGTCTTTTCATTCCTGTTTTTCTTATGCGATCTTTCTGTCCTACTTGTGCTATTTGGTCTCTCCGTCCCTTCTGTACGTTCTGTCTTCTCTGTTCTATCTGTTCTTTCTGTTCTACCCCTCTTTTTCGTCCTTTCTGTGTCTTCACCTTCTGTTCTTTCTCTCCTTGCCGTCTTTCTATCTCTCCGTCTGTTCTCTCCTTTCTGTTCTTTTGGTATTTGTTGTTCATTCTGTGTCCTTTCTGAACTTTCTGTCCTATTCGTTCTATTTGCTCTCTCCGTCCTTTCTGTTCTTTAGGTCCTTTCTGTGATCTTTCTTTTTTCTGACCTTCGTGTCTTATTTATCCATTCTGCTTTCTTTCTCTTTTTTATACTATTTGTGCTACTTGTGTCCTCCGTTCTTTCTTCTCTAGTCTATCTGTTCTTTCTGTTCTATCTCCCCTTTTCGTCCTTTTTGTATCATTTCTGTCCGTTTAATTGGTTCTGTGGTAACTATCCTTTCTCTAACTTCTGTCCGTTCTGCCCTTTCTATCTTTACCGTCTTTCTGTTTCTCCGTCTGTTTTTTCCTTTCCATTCTTTTTCTCTCCTTCCTGCATGTTCTATTTCCTTACTGTACTTTCTGTTTTCTGTATCCTTGTAGTCTTTTCGGTTTTGTTCATTTATTGTGGTGTGTGCTTTCTGTCCGTTTAGTTGTTTCTGACCTTTATGCTTCCTCTATCTTTTCTCACCTTTCTGCTTGTTTTTTCCGTTCTGTCCATTCTCTCCCTTTTTTTTTCTATTCTTTTTGTCTGTTCTATCTGTCCTTTCTATTCTGTTCATTCTTTCGGCTCTGTCTGCCCTATAACTTGTTTCTGTCGCATTTGTCATTTACATACTTTCTGAATCCTTTCTGCTCTTTTTTTGCCTTCCGTCATGTCTGGTTTTTCTGTCCTGCTCCTTTCTCTACTCTCTGTATGCTTTCTTTCCTTTCCTTCGTTCTATCCTAGCGGTCCTTTCTGTTCTCTCTGTTTTTTCTGTACTTTCTGTCCTATCTGTTCTATCAGTTCTTTGTTTCTTATTTCCCCAGCTCAAATTTTTGGCATCCTTTCTGTTCTTTTTATTTTTCCTGTCTTTTTGTACCCCTTGTTCTTTCTGTATTTTCTGTCCTTTCTCCTCGTTTTCTTCGATCTGTCCTTTTTGTTCTTTCTAACCTTTCAGTCCTGTTAATTCTTTCAGGTCTGTCCTGTCTCCTTTCGTTCTTGTCTCTTCTTTTTTTTCTCCGTTCTGTCTACTCTGTTCTTTCTGTATTTTTTACCTTTTTTGAACTTTCTGCTCTATTCATTCTGTTCATTTAGTCCTTTTGTGTCTATTCTAACTTTACTGTCCTTTTTAAAGTTTCTGCCTTTTTTCCATTTTGTTCATTCTGCTCCTTCTGTTACTTCTATCTTTTTTCCGTTCTCTCTGATCTGTTTGTTCGGCCCCTTCTATCTTTTATTTCCGTAATGTTCGTTCTTTCGGCTCTGTCTTTTCTGACCATTCTTTATGTATTTTCTATTCTCTCTGTTCTATCTGTTCTTTCTATCATATTTCCCCTTTCCGTACTTTCTGCCCTTACTTTCTTAACTGATCTTTCTGTCCTTTCTGTCTTTTCTATTCTATCTTTCTGTCCTATATTTTCCCTCTTTCTATTCGTTCTGTCCATTCTTGCCTTTTGTTCGTCCTGTGTGTTCTTTCTGTCCTTCCTACGTTTCCTGTTCTTTCTGTATATTTTTGTCCTTTTATTCTTTCTACCCTTTCTGTTTCCCCTTTGTCCGTTCTGTTCTTTCTGCGCGTTTCTGTTTTTTCTATCCTTCCTGTCTTTCTATTATTATGTCTTTTTTCTCCTTTCTATTCTTTTTGTTTTTTCTATCCCTTCTGCCCTACTTCTTCTATCAGTTCTTTGTTTTCTATCTCCCCATCCCATACTTTCCACAATCTTTCTGTTCGTTATATGTTTTCTGTGTATTCTGTCCTATCTGTTCTTTTTCTATTGTACTCTCCATTCTGTCATTTTTCTTTTCTCTTCCTTGTCCTTTTTTCTCTGTTAATTCTTTCAGGTCTGTCCTGTCTCTTTTCTGTCTTCTCTGTTCTTTTTTGCCCATATTCTCCGTTCTGTCTAGTCTGTTCTTTCTGTATTTTTTACCTTTTTTGAACCTTCTGTTCATTCAGTCCTTTTGTGTCTATTCTAACCTGATTGTCCTTTTTAAAGTTTCTGCCTTTTTTTCCGTTTCTGTCTTTTTTCCGTTCTTTCTGATCTGTTCGTTCGGTCCCTTCTATCTCTTATTTCCGTTACGTTTGTTCTTTCGGCTCTGTCTTTTCTGACCATTCAGTTCTTTATATATTTTCTATTCTCTCTGTTCTATCTGTTCTTTCTATCATATTTCCCCTTTCCGTACTTTCTGCCCTTACTTTCTTAACTGACCTTTCTGTCCTTTCTGTCTTTTCTATTCTATCTTTATTATGTGATCTTTCTGTTCTATATTTGCCCTCTTCCTATGCGTTCTGTCCGTTCTTCCCTTCTGTTCGTCCTGTGTGTTCTTTCTGTCTATTTTTGTCCTTTTATTCTTTCTGCCCTTTCTGTTTCCCCTTTGTCGGTTCTGTTCCTTCTGCTTTCTATCCCTCCTGTTCTTCTATTATTATGTATTTTTCCCCTTTCTATTCTTTTTGTTTTTTCTATCCCTTCTGCCCTACTTCTTCTATCAGTTCTTCGTTTTCTATCTCCCCATCCCATACTTTCCACAATCTTTCTGTTCGTTATATGTTTTCTGTGTATTCTGTCCTATCTGTTCTTTTTCTATTGTACTCTCCGTTCTGTCATTTTTCTTTTCTCTACCTTGTCCTTTTTTCTCTGTTAATTCTTCTAGGTCTGTCCTGTCTCTTTTCTGTCTTCTCTGTTCTTTTTTGCCCATATTCTCCGTTCTGTCTAGTCTGTTATTTCTGTATTTTTTACCTTTTTGGAACCTTCTGTTCATTCAGTCCTTTTGTGTCTATTCTAACCTTACTGTCGTTTTTAAAGTATCTGCATTTTCTTTCCGTTTTGTTTATTCTGCTCCTTCTGTTATTTCTATCTTTTTTCCGTTATCTCTGATCTGTTCGTTCGGTCCCTTCTATCTTTTATTTCCGTAATGTTCGTTCTTTCGGCTCTGTCTTTTCTGACCATTCAGTTCTTCGTGTATTTTCTATTCTCTCTGTTCTTTCTGTTCTTTCTATCGTATCTCTCCTTTCCGTACTTTCTGCCCTTACTTTCTTAACTGAGCTTTCTGTCCTTTCTGTCTTTTCTATTCTATCTTTCTTATGTGATCTTTCTGTCCTATATTTTCCCTCTTTCTATTCGTTCTGTCCATTCTTGCCTTTTGTTCGTCCTGTGTGTTCTTTCTGTCCTTCCTACATTTCCTGTTCTTTCTGTCTATTTTTGTCCTTTTATTCTTTCTACGCTTCCTGTTTCCCTTTTGTCCGTTCTGTTCCTTCTGTTCGTTTCTGTTTTTTCTAACCTTCCTGTCCTTCTATTATTGTCTTTTTTCTCCTTTCTGTTCTTTTTGTTTTTTCTATCCCTTCTGCCCTACTTCTTCTAACAGTTCTTCGTTTTATATCTCCCCATCCCATACTTTCCACATTCTTTCTGTCCGTTGTATGTTTTCTGTGTATTCTGTCCTATCTGTTCTTTTTCTATTGTACTCTCCGTTCTGTCATTTTTCTTTTCTCTTCCTTGTCCTTTTTGCTCTGTTAATTCTTTCAGGTCTGTCCTGTCTCCTTTCTGTCTTCTCTGTTCTTTTTTGCCATATTCTCCGTTCTGTCTAGTCTGCTCTTTCTGTATTTTTTACCTTTTTTGAACCTTCTGTTCATTCAGTCCTTTTGTGTCTATTCTAACCTGACTGTCCTTTTTAAAGTTTCTGCCTTTTTTTCCGTTTTGTTCATTCTGCTCCTTCTGTTACTTCTGTCTTTTTTCTGTTCTTTCTGATCAGTTCGTTCGGTCCCTTCTATCTCTTATTTCCGTTATGTTCGTTCTTTCGGCTTTGTCTTTTCTGACCATTCAGTTTTTTATATATTTTCTATTCTCTCTGTTCTATCTGTTCTTTCTATCATATTTCTCCTTTCCGTACTTTCTGCCCTTACTTTCTTAACTGACCTTTCTGTCCTTTCTGTCTTTTCTATTCTATCTTTCTTATGTGATCTTTCTGTCCTATATTTGCCTTCTTCCTATTCGTTCTGTTCGTTCTTTCCTTCTGTTCGTCTTGTTGTTCTTTCTGTCTTTCCTACGTTTCCTGTTCTTTCTGTTTATTTTTGTCCTTTTATTCTTTCTACGCTTCCTGTTTCCCCTTTGTCCGTTCTGTTCTTTCTGTTCGTTTCTGTTTTTTCTATCCTTCCTGTCCTTCTTTTATGATGTCTTCTTTCTCCTTTCTATTCTTTTTTTTCTATCCCTTCTGCCCTACTTCTTCTATCAGTTCTTCGTTTTCTATCTCCCCATCCCATACTTTCCAGATTCTTTCTGTTCGTTATATGTTTTCTGTGTATTCTGTCCTATCTGTTCTTTTTCTATTGTACTCTCCGTTCTGCCATTTTTCTTTTCTCTTCCTTGTCCTTTTTTCTCTGTTAATACTTTCATGTCTGTCCTGTCTCCTTTCTGTCTTCTCTGTTCTTTTTTGCCCATATTCTCCGTTCTGTCTAGTCTGTTCTTTCTGTATTTTTTACCTTTTTTGAACCTTCTGTTCTTTCAGTCCTTTTGTGTATATTCTAACCTCACTGTCCTTTTTAAAGTTTCTGCCTTTTTTTCCGTTTTGTTCATTCTGCTCCTTCTGTTACTTCTGTCTTTTTTCCGTTCTTTCTGGTCTGTTCGTTCGGTCCCTTCTATCTCTTATTTCCGTTATGTTCGTTCTTTCGGCTCTGTCTTTTCTGACCATTCAGTTCTTTATATATTTTCTATTCTCTCTGTTCTATCTGTTTTTTCTATCATATTTCCCCTTTCCGTACTTTCTTAACTGACCTTTCTGTCCTTTCTGTCTTTTCTATTCTATCTTTCTTATGTGATCTTTCTGTTCTATATTTGCCCTCTTCCTATTCGTTCTGTCCGTTCTTCCCTTCTGTTTGTCCTGTGTGTTCTTTCTGTCCTTCCTACGTTTCCTGTTCTTTCTGTCTATTTTTGTCCTTTTATTCTTTCTACCCTTTCTGTTTCCCCTTTGTCCGTTCTGTTCCTTCTGCTCGTTTCTGTTCTTTCTAACCTTCCCGTCCTTCTATTATTGTCTTTTTTTTCCTTTCTATTCTTTTTGTTTTTTCTATCCCTTCTGCCCTACTTCTTCTATCAGTTCTTCGTTTTCTATCTCCCCACCCCGTACTTTCCACTTCTTTCTGTTCCTTATATGTTTTCTGTGTATTCTGTCTTATCTGTTCTTTTTCTATTGTACTCTCCGTTCTGTCATTTTTGTTTTCTCTTCCTTGTCCTTTTTGCTCGGTTCATTCTTTCAGCTCTGTCCTTTCTGTCCTATCTCTTTTTTTCATTCTTTGTTCATCCTTTTTGTACTTTCTGTTCTGTCAGTATTTTTTGTGCCTAATGTCTTCTGTTCTTTCAATGTTTTTCACAGTTCATTCTGTGGATTTTCTATTCTCTCTGTTCTATCAGTTCTTTCTGTTCTTTCTATTTTTTCTGTTTTTCCTGCTTTTTTCTATCCGTTATGGTCTCTCCGCTCTGTTCGTTCTTTTGGCTCTGTTTCTTCTCTTTATTCAGTCCATTCTATCTTTTCTATTCCTTCTATCTTCTGTCTTTACTGTCCTTTCTATCCTTCCTATCTTTTCTGTTCTTTATGTCTCTTATGTCCTTTTTGCCCTTCTATTCTCTCTATGCTTTCTGTCCGGTTGATCCCTCTGTCCGTTCTGCCCCTTCTGTCCGTTCTCTATCTTGATTGTTCTGTCCTTTATGCTATTTCTGTTCTTACTGTCCTTTATGTCCTTCCTATCCTTTCTGTTCTTTCTGTCTTTTCTGTCCTGTCTTTCTTATTTGACCTTTCTGTCCTATCTGTCCTATTTGCTCCGCCCGTTCTTTCTGTCTTCTGCTCTATCTCTTCTATTTAACTTTTGGCATCCTTTCTGTTTTTTCTGTTCTTTTTGTATTTTCTGTCCTTCCTCTTCGTCCTCTTCGTTGTGTACATTTTGTTGTTTCTAACTTTTCAGTCCTTTTCGCTCTGTTCATTCTTTGAGCTCTGTCATTTCTCTACGTTCGGTGCAATCTCTCTTTTTTATTCTTTCTGCATCTTTTCTCTGCTTTCTGTTCTTTCTGTGCCTTCTGTTCTTTCTTTTTGCCCGTTCTCTCCCTTCTGTCTCTGTTTTTTCTGTATTTTCTATCCCTTTAGAACTTTCTGCTCTATTCGTTCTTTCGGCTCTGTTCTTTCTGTTCCTTGAGTCCTTTCTGTACACTCTATCCTTTCTGTCCTTTTTGAAGTTTCTGTTTTTTGTCTTCATTTTGTCCAGTCTGTTTTGTGTTCTCTCTGTTCTGTCAGTTCTTTCTATCCTATCTGTTTGCACCCTCCGGCTTTTCCGTTTTTCCATTCTTGTTGCTCTTCTATTATTTCTGCTCTTTCTGTGTTTTCTGCCTGTTCTGTAATTTATATCCTTTTTCTAATTTTTGTCTTTTCTGTTCGTTCTGTGCATTCTATCTTTTCTTCCCGTTCTTTCCGTTCTGTTCATTCTGTTCTTTCACCATCTTTCGTATAAACATTTTGGATGATTTTTTTTAATTAAATATTTTATAGCTAAATATATTATAGCTGTATTCGGTGAATGTCTTATTGATCAATCTGTTTGATTTTTTTTTACTTATTTGTTAAATTTTTACAGATAATCAGAGCGTGCTTTCCACATTTTTCTGGTTTTAGTAATACTAGTTAGGTAAATGTGGTTTATGTAGAACCATACGCTCGAAAAAATTTTGATTCAAATTTGGCTCTGATTCGCACGCTGGATTTGGCATAACTGATTCAATTAAGAATATGAGTGAGCGTAAACTTTCATTCCGAGAGGATGTTAATAATTTTACGTGTGGTCGGAAAAAACAACTCCACTTAAATATCATCCACTCTGCATAACTCGAACCGCACCTGATCAAAACCACTAAATATCAATTCTAAAACACAGTCCATACATCACGTTTTAATTGTCTTTTGTATCGATTTCGCAACGACGATTATATCATAAATAGTCGCCGTAATACGAGCCACACATTATGCAAAATCCACTCGTATACAACATGTGCATAAGACACGCTTTTATTCAGAAAATGAAAGTTGTTATTAGTGGAACAAGATGGTTGGCCTCAATTCGAGCCGCTATAACGTGAATAAGTTGCTTTCGATTTCGCTTGACAAAGATAGGTATTTTTAGTTGCTTAATATGTGTGGCATTATGGTTCAATTTACATAAATATAGGCTGTCTGTGTGGAAGCGAAACCAAGATAGTTTTTGTATTAATCCACATACATCTCGTATTTTTACTTTGAGTAGATTTCTTGGTCAAGGAAGTTCCGTTTGATTGAACATCTGTCCATAAATTTTTGATGAAGAAACCTCCCACAATTCCATAAAACAATGGTCGCGTCGAGAGTAATTTCACGGTTTCCGTTAGCTGACGGACGATTATTTAACGTTTATGCCAATCTTATTTTGAACGAGTTGGAAAAATAACGGGACAATTATAACGTAAATGGGCAAAAGGCCTTGGAGTTGTGGTCGGATGGGACAACATGCAAATTATAGCTAAAGGTTAAAGACATTATAAATGAAATTTTAGACTCACGTCATGGGTGTTATGTAACGTCGGTTTTACCAAAAGTGAACACAGGAGGTGGCTACGGAACGCTAAGTGCAGTATTACGACTATTTGTGTTTCTTATTAGTTATTAGACTCCAGCAAGTCGTAATATTTGAAAACGTGCAAGATAAATATTGCGTGGAAAAGCTTTCTAAAACCGTGTGAATTTTTAATGGTTTTAACGGTGTATATCGTAGCTTGTTAATTTTTTTTAAGTTGGCACCGCGTCGTATTGTTTGACGTTAAAATAGTGGCTCGAATGTTACGAAAATAGTTATATTATGTCTGAAATTCAACCCCTCGGTAATTGTAAAAGAAAACATAAAAATGTAATTCAATTATGGAAATATGAGGGAGTTTTTAAACACTGTTTATTTTTCAGTAATTAAAAATATTCATTGTGTAAACAACTGCTGTTTTACATTTTATTTAGTTTCTGACACAATTCATAACCTTAAATATCGATATTTTCGAGCAACTTTAGGTTGCTAAAGCTTGTAAAATTATTACTCTCCTTTTCAGTAAAGATTATAAATCAAATAGATAAAATATTTGCTATTAGCATTATTTAAATAGTGAGTAGAATTGTGAAGTGATGGTACAAAGAAATATTGATTTATAATTGGCCGTAAATATTGAATTACCGTTGGCAGCATAAGATACAAATGACTTGATGTTTACTAGTCGTTAAGAGTCTGTGTGAGACGCCAGGATTTGATTAACTGTTGGATGCGACTCTTATTGCTTTTCTGGCGTATTATTTGCTAATTCAAGCAGTGGTGCCAAATATAGCATGTGAATGAAAATTTGAAAATACAGTCATGAGTCAAAATATTTTCTATTGTATGGTGAAATATGAAAAAAATTTAAAAATCGAAAAATGAAGATGTCGGATCATCAAAACATTGTAGATGTGAAAAATCAAAAAAATTGGTCTAAAGAGTTTAGACAGTACTTCCCTCGCTGTCGGAAACTTGACGACTGCATGCCTATTGTGTTTTTTTTTCTCATTACATTTTTGTAGTGGGAATTTAAAAAAAAATTGTGATGACGTCATCAACATTTTTGCAAGGACACGTATATCAGTTGGGATAGATGTAGTGTAATACTAAGAATAAAATTATTGTATTCCCAAATTTTCGGGAAAATGAATTGGGTCGTTTTGAATATTGATTTCTTATAATCAATAAAATAACGAAACAATTTACTCAGGTATACGGCGCCTTTTTTTGAACCACCTCTTAAGAAAATCTAAAAAATATGAATGGAATGATATATCACAAGTACAAACTCATCATATTTTTTGCATTTTAGATAGGATTTATTCAGCAAAATTTAAGGGTGACGTCATCAATTTTTTTAGGAGGGATGAACAAATACATTTTGAACAAAAGTTTACCATGCTTATAATAACTTTAAAATATTCCCAAGATTTCAAAGCATTCGGTTTTGTAATTCCTGATTAAATCGATAAAATAAATTCACGCCTTCATTAATTTTTTTGAGTCACCCTGCATATGCAAATCCAAAAATATGAATGGAATGATAAATCACAAGTACAGACTCATCATATTTTGTACAATTTAGATACGATTTATTCGGCAAACTTTTGAGCTGACGTCATCAGTTTTTTGTAGAAGATAACCAAATATATTTTGACTAAAAATTTATTATGCTCTTTATAACCTTAAAACATCTGCAAGATTTCAAAGCATTCGGTTTTGTAGTTCCTGATTAAATCAATAAAATAAATTTACGCATTCATTAATTTTTTTGAGTCACCCTGTATATGCAAATCGAAAAAATTTGAATGGAATGATAAATCACAAGAAGAGACTCACCATATTTTGTACATTTTAGATAGGATTTATTCAGCAAAATTTTGTGGTGACGTCATAAATTTTTTAGGGAGGACGACCAAATACATTTTGATCAAAAATTTACCATGCTTATGATAATTTTAAAATATCTTCAAGATTTCGAAGCATTCGGTTTTGTAATTCCTGAGTAAATCAGTAAAATAAATTTACCCTTTCATTTATTTTCTTGAATCACCCTGTATATGCAAATCCAAAAAATATGAATAGAGTGATAGATCACAAGTACAGACTGATCATATTTTGTACATTTTAGATATGATTTATTCGGCAAATTTTCGAGCTGACGTCATCAAGTTTTTGGAGGGGATAAGCAAATATATTTTGACTAAACATTTATTATGCTCTTTATAACCTTAAAACATCTGCAAGATGTCAGAGCATTCCGTTTTGTAGTTCCTGATTAAATCAATAAAATATATTTACGCATTCATTAATTTTTTTGAGTCACTCTGTATATGCAAATCCAAAAAATATGAATGGAATGATAAATGACAAGTACAGACTCATCATATTTTGTAGATTTTAGATATGTTTTATTCGGCAAACTTTCGAGCTGACGTCATCAAGTTTTTGGAGGGGATAAGCAAATATATTTTGACTAAACATTTATTATGCTCTTTATGACCTTAAAACATCTGCAAGATTTCAGAGCATTCGGTTTTGTAGTTCCTGATTAAATCAATAAAATATATTTACGCATTCATTAATTTTTTTGAGTCACCCTGTATATGCAAATCCAAAAAATATGAATGGAGTGATAAATTACAAGTACAGACTCATCATATTTTTACAGTTTAGATAGGATTTATTCCACAAACTTTTGAGCTGACGTCATCAAGTTTTTGGAGGGGATAAGCAAATATTTTTTGACTAAAAATTTATTATGCTCTTTATAGCCTTAAAACATCTGCAACATTTCAAAGCATTCTGGTTAGCAGATTAAAAATTAAATTTCAAAATGTTGTTTTATAATTTTGATTTTTTTTCCAAAGATCTGGACGTTTCGGGTGAAAAGTCGATTCAGAGTTGTAAACTACATGTGTAGGACTATGTTATTTTATACAATTGAAAACCCATTTACTATGTACAATTTTGAAGTGACGTCATCGCATTAGTGGTGGGGATGATTAGACAAATTTTGGTTAGCGTTTTACCATCTACATGATATTCTTAATATAAGTACAAAATTTCACAACAATCGGTCGAGTACTTTCGGAGATTATCTGTCTAATAAAAATCCGGGACGGCAGACGGACGGACAGACGGACGGACAGACGGACAGACGGACAGACGGACAGACGGACAGACGGACAGACGGACAGACGGACAGACGGACAGACAGACGGAAATGGGAGACCTATTTCTTCGTCTTCTAGGGGTCATGAAAGATCGACAAAACGTAAAAGTAGAGAGTCGACCGACGGACTCGATTACAATACTTCCTTTGCTTACGCTCGGGAAGTAAAAACGACACCGACACCGACACCCACACTAAGCTCGTAGCTGGAACTCGACATTCCTATTCCTGAACGTATACGTGTTCTATATTCCGACAAGAAAGAAGTTAAAACTCCAAAAATTGAAATATTGAGGAATCAAAGAACTGGAAATAACGAAAAAAACGGAAACTGAAAAATTGAAAAATCGTAACAATGAAAAATTGGAAAATCGAAAAATCGCAAAGTTGAAAAATAGAAATACCGAAAAATTAAAAAATGAAAACGTCGGGAAATGAAGACATCAACAAATCGTAAAACTAAAAATCAAAAAAATTCACAAATCGAGAAATCAAAAAAACCTAAAATTTAAAAATTCGACAAATTGAGGAATTGAAAAACTGAAAAATCAAGGAATTGGAAAATCCCAAAACTGAAATGTAGAAAAATTGGGAAATCGAGAAATTGAAAAATTCGAACCTTGAACAATTGGAAAATTGAAAAATCGCGAAGCCGAAAAATCGAAAAACCTGGAAATCGAAAAATTGAAAAATCGAGGAATCAATAAAAAATCTAACATTTAAAGAATGTAAAAAATAAATTGCAATAAGCTGAACAATTTACAAAATCGAATTGTTAAAAAATTGAGGAATCGAAAACATCAAAAATTGAGAAATCGAAAACTAGGAAAATTGGAAAATCTAAAAATAGAAAAATTTTAAAAATCGAAAATTGGAGTTGTCTAGAAATCGAAAAATCGAAAAATTGTAGTATTAAAAAATGAAAAAATCGGGAAATCGAAACATCGTAGAATTAAAAAATCAAAAATAGACAAAATTTTTATATATAGTTACCGATTTCTCAATTTTTCAACATTTCAATTTTGGAAAATTTTCAATTTTTCTATATGTATTTTAATCGAAAAATATAAAATTCCCAAAGCCGAAAAAAACTAGAGAAATCGAAAATAATAATTAAAACATCAAGGGATCGAAAAAACCAAAGTCGGGAACTCGAAAAAACCAAACTCGGGAACTCGAAAAATCAAAAAAATTTGAAAATTGAAAAATCTAAAAATCTAAATTCGAGAACTCGATGAATTGAGAAACCAAAACATTTTAAAAATCAAAAAATTGAAGAATGGAAAAACTAAATACCGGAAAATTGAAAAACCGAAAAATCAAAAATTTAAAAAATCGGGAAATTGGAAAAAGAATGTAAATCCGAAAAGTCGAAATGTCGAAAGTTTGAGCAAATCGAAGCATCACACAACTGTAAAATCTAACATTTAAAAAATCGAAAAGTCAAAATTCAAAATATTGAAAAATGTTGAAAATTGTCGAAAATTCGAAAAGTTGAAAAACTGAAAAATTAAAAAATGAAAATATCGGGAAATCAAGACATCAAAAAATCGTAAAATTTAAAAATTCGAACAATTGAGGAATTGAAAAATCAAGAAATTAAAAAATTCCAAAATTGAAATGTCGAAAAATTGAAAAATTGGACAATCGAAAAATTAAATTGAAAAATTTTAAACGTATAAAATGGAAAATTCGAAAAACTGGACAACCGAAAAATTTAAAAATTAAAGATTTTAAAAATCGGAAAACTGAAAAATGGAAAATTTTAAACCGAAAAGTCTAAAAATCTAAAAATTGGTGAACTGAAAAACTGAAAATTCGAAAAATCGACAAATCGAAACACTGGAAAGTCGAGAAATCGAAAAACTGAAAAATTAAAAAATAAAAACATCGGGAAATTAAGACATCAAAGAATCGTAAAACAAAAAAATCAAAGGAACAAGAACTCAAGGAATCAAAAAATCTAGAATTTTAGAATATGGAAAAATTTGGGATTCGGAAAACACAAAAATCAAGAGATTGAAAAAATTGGGAAATCAAAAAATTTAAAAATCAGTAGATCGAAAAATTGGAAGATAAAAAAAATCGCTGAGCTGAAAAATCGAAAAATTGAAAAATTGAATTGAGAAATCGAAATATCAAGCCGCTGAGAAATCGAAAATTCGGGAAGTCGATGAATTGAGAAACCAACTTCTTTTAAAAATCAAAAAATTGAAAAATTGAAAAACTAAAACTCGTAAAATTGAAAAATTGAAAAGTCGAAAAATCCAGAAATCGAAAAGTGGAAAAATCAAAAAATCGATTATTCCAGAAATAGAGGAATCGAAAAATCGAGGTTTTGGGAACGCCAAAAATAATTAGGAATTGAAAAATGGAAAAATTGAGATATGAAAAAACGGAAAAATCAAAAAATCTTAATATGCATCTCAAAACTGAAATGTCAAATAATTGGGAAATCGACAATGAAAAATCGGAACAAGAAAAAATTAAATAACTGAAAACTCGAGATCGAAACATCAAGAGATCCAGAAATCGAAAAGTCGAGAAATTGAAATAGCCCAAACTTAAAAAATGGAAAAATTAAAAATTAAATAATTTAAAATGTAAAAAAAGATAAATCGAAAAATCGAAAAATCGGGAAATTGAAAAACTGAAGAAAAACGAGAAATTTAAAAATCTAAAAATTAAAAATTGAAAAATTCAAAATGTAAAAAATAGAAAAATTGAAAAATCGGGAAACTGAACAATCGAAACATGGAAATGTCGGTAAATCGTGAAATTGAAAAATCGAAAAATTGGAAAATCGAAAAATTTAAAAACTGAAAAATTGGAAATTTGGAAAATTGAGACACTGAAAAGTGGAGAAATAAAGCGGGAAAATCGAAAAATCGAAAAAGCAAAAAATAGATTAATCGAGAAATATGTAGAGGAATCGAAAAATCGAAAATTTGGAGACGCCAAAAATTAAAAAATCGAAACATTTCAGAAAAAGTTGCGGAATCGAAAAATACAAATTTGAGGCATCGAAAATTTTAAAAAGCGAAAAAAAATCGAAAAATTGAAAAATCCCAAAACTGAAATATCGAAAAATTGAATAATCGCCAAAAAAATTGGAAAATTAAAGAATCAAAAAACTATAAAATTCCAAAATTGAAATATCGAAATTCGAAAAAGCGCGAAATTGATAATTTGAAAAATTGTCACAAAATTTGTATTAAAACGCTTGATTTTTGCAATTTCAAAGTTAAATTGTACAGTGTTATAACAATTCAACACGGATTCATAAACCACAAGTGGAGGGGTACCTACGCCATTTTATAAAATTTAAATTTAAATAATATTCACTACATTAAACAACTGGATCGCAACGTTATAAAAATATTTAACGATCAAGATGAAAACCTCCAAAACGGAAAATTCTCCCCGTTGCTCGAAAACAAATAAAGGATTGATAAATGTCAGTTTGTCAGTGAATGATAAATGGCCACCGAAGTGAATCAATACGGCAGAACTCAAACCACCGACTAATTTATCTTGCAGAGGTGCGAAGAGACAGCTTTAAAATAGTTAATATAAAAATATTTCCCTGACTCATCTTCGTAATTTCTACGAAGCATTTAATTTCCACAAAAAGCGCACCAACTCAGGGAATCACACAGCAATTCCGTACACAAACAACTTTAATTGAAGTAAATCCTAGTCGAGCGATGGCTTCAGCTGCCTCCAGTCGCTGCCTCTTCGCACTGATTTTAGTGCTCACTTCGAAAAACACCCACCCGAAGTGTATTATTAGCAGAAACGCGAGTTATTGTGACACTTTACAAGACTTATACACCGAATCTACTCATACTTTACAAAAAAGAGTAGCCATCTCTGGGACTAACCTTGACGAATTTAAAACAGTTCCGGTTGAAAGTGCAAGCAAAATTGAAGACCTCAGTGTTACGAAAGCAGTCAACAAAATCCCCGACGACGCATTCAGGAACTTCCACAACCTGAAAACTTTGAGTCTCGTAGCCAACCCAATCGAGCGAATCGGAGCACGAGTTTTTCGGGATTTGAGGGTGAAAGTGTTGGGGGTGACGCAATGTGGGGTCAAAAACATCGAGGAGGGGGCATTTTCGACGTTAACACAACTGGAGAAGTTGAGACTTAGTGGTAACAATTTAACTGAGATCAAGAAAAATGTTTTTAATAACTTAACAGTGGACACTTTGGTTGTTTCTAAAAACCAAGTTGCGACGATTGAGAAGTTCGCTTTCGCTGGTCTGCCAAATTTGGGACGGCTTTATTTGGACAACAATTACTTAACCGAGTTCAATGTTCAAGACTATGTTAGTGACGTTGGGAAGCTTGAAAGATTGTGGCTGCATGGAAATAACCTGACCCAAATAACCAACTACATGCTCGAGGGTTTGTTGGGTTTGAAAGTGCTCAATTTGGGTTTCAATTTCATTTCGGTGATAGAACCGAGGAGTTTTGGGGGGACTCCAAATTTGAACACTCTGGTTTTGAGCAACAATGTCTTAAAAACCGTCGATGGTGGGGTTCTGCCCATGGGAGGGCTAACCCAACTGGGTGTTCTCTACCTCGACCACAACCGACTCATGTACTTGTCGTCGAACTTTCTCTTTCGACTCAACGGGTTAAAATCGATGTCCCTAGGTGGGAATCCTTGGAGGTGTCCTTGCCTAGACCTACTCTTACGTTGGTTGAACGACAACGAAGTGAAACTCAGCTGTGATAAAAACTATTTCAGTGGAAACAGACCCGTTTGTGTGGACCCTTCAGCCTCCAAAGGTTGTGTTTATTCATACGACGACAAACTACTCAAACTATTTCAAGACTCCAGCAACCAGTACCCCCCAGCTCCATTTTGTTTACTTTAAACGTCTTATTAATAATCGATTCTGTCGCTCTTAGTGATAAATTATGTTAAAGTGCATTAAAATATTTTATTGGATATTGTCTTTCGCTCAGTTTAATTATAATTGAAAATCAATTTGTGTGACGGGCTTTAACATTCCGGAACTTCAGCACGTTGTAATTAGAATTATCGATTGGACACGCTGCGAGTGGCCGTGGTGTTTAATTTCCAAAAAAAGGTGCCGAATATGGGTTGGCTGACTCATGGGTGAGAATGCGGACGGTTTCCGGGTAAAAACGACAACGATGGGTTTATTCCCTCTCATATTTGTCAATGATTCTACTTTATTGACGGATTAGAGCAACTTTTATTAGTCATTAGATCATTGCCAAAAACCGCGAATAACAAGTCTCGTAATTCCGACCCCTGCGCAGCCACTTTACTGAAAAAAACCGAATTCCGCTAATCTGTGTGTTCGGCCGCCCACTTTGGGCACTTTTTCGTAGGCGGAAAGGTCCTTGCGCTTAAGTCAATGGACCTGTTGCGGAACCAGTTCCAAATATCACACGGTGATACGTCACAGTTGGTTTAATTCGACAAGCCGATGGAAAAACGCTGAAAAATTCTTTATTTATTGACGGTGCGGTGTGGCATGTCGTCGGTCGTTCTTTTTCTCGTTTTTTCAATCGGCGAGCGGCGATCCGATTTCAAAGACATAGCTGAAGATGGGAAGAACTCGTCGGGCAACTGCAGCAGTTTTAAATTATATTGGCAATTATGTGGGCGGTGACGACCTTAACGCGTCATTGCTTTGAAAAATAACTCACTTACGGCGCACGTATGGTGATTTGGAGCAAATGGGGCAGTACGGACCTGCAAGGGTGGGTGGGAGTCGACCAGATTTTTTCAAATTAAATTAAAAACAAGAAGCAGTTTTACTTCAGGCTCTAAAAGTTTTGTATGATTACTAGATACCCTATATTGTCTATAATCAGGACTCTATATATTTTAGGCTTTCTAGGAACTCTAGATATTCACCACTGGGGACGTTCTCTATATTTTGTAAATTTTTCAGATTTTCAAGATTCTTAAAGCTCTAAACACAAGACAGACTAAAGAGGCCAAATTTTCTAAAGTGTCTAAATATCATAGATTCTTTAGATCTGCTAAATTTCTAAACGTCTTAGACTTCGTAAATTCTCTGCATCCTTTCTAAATTTTGCCTAGAAGGGGTACATTGTTTAAAATCTCCACATTCTGCAAGATCTGTACTACATTGGCTAGATTTTATAGAACATCTGTGCCTAGATTATTAGATTATCCCTAGGCTGTCTAGTTTATGGACGTTATATTCTGTAGATTCTTTAGGCTCTATATGTTTTGTAGGGTTTCTAGATACTCTAGATTGGCAACAATCAGAAGCCTTTCTCAACTCTTTAGTTTTTCTAGGATCTACATACTAGAGAGGCCAAATTTTCCAAAGTTTCTAAATATTCTAGATTCTCTATGCTCTGGAGAATTTCTGATCCTTAGAAAGCATCTCTAGATTCTCCAATTTCTAAACTGTCTAGACTGTCTAAATTCTCTAAATCCTGAATATTCTCCAAAATCTTTGGACCCTAAACTTGCTAGATTTTCTGGACTCTCTAGCTACTCTAAGCTCCATAAATTTTTAGAGTTCAGGCGATTTAAATTGTCTAGATTTTCTTGACACTATACTCCGTAGACTTTTCAGGCTCGACGATCCTTAAGGTTTTTAAAAGTTCTAAGGTCTTTATGCATTGTGGGGTTTCTGAATACCCTGTATATCCTCTGACTCTATATCTTCTAGGGTTTCTAGACGCTAAATTAAAGTATTTTCTACACTTTCTAAAGTCTTTAGATTGTTTAATTTTCAAATTCTCTATGATGATTCTCTAGGTTGACTATCATTTCTAGATATTATATTCTGTGGATATGTAAAGTTCTAAATGTTTTTAGGGTTCTACGTATACCTTAGAATCTTTCTCAAATCTTTTGATTCTCTGGAGTCTATACTCCCTAGTGTTTTTAGGCATTCTAGATTATCTAGAATTCGTACAAAACGTGTAGAGCCTGGAATATCTACAGAGTATAGCGTCTTGAAGTTAAAGACAACCTAATAAATCTAGAGAATTTAAATCATCTATAAAGCTATTAAGGCTAGAGTCTGTAGATCTTAGGGAATATAAAGATGTTAGAAAACCTAGACAATCTAGGTAACTTAGGGTTTGAAAGATCTGGGGAGAATTTAGAGAGAGTTAAGACGCCTTCAGGGCTTAGAGAATCTATAGACTCTAGAAACTTTAGAAAGTCTACATCATCTAGACACCTTAGTTTGGTGCTTAGAAAACCTAGAGGGTATATAGTCCAGAAAACCTACAGAACCTAGGGAACCTGATAATCGGAAGTCGAGAGTATCTAGAAGCCCTAATAAACGTATAGAACCTAGAAAGTTTAGAAACCATAAAAATTCTAGAGTGTTAGTATCTGAAAATCCTCAAAACGTGTAGATTCCGAAGTATCAACAGAATATAGCGTCTAGAAATTAAAGACGGCCTAATAAATCTAAACAATTTAAATCATCTATAAAACTATTATTGCTAGAGTTTGTAGATCTTAGGGAATATAAAGATGTTAGAAAACCTAGACAATCAAGGTAATTTAGGGTTTGAAAGATCTGGGGAGAATTTAGAGGGAGTTAAGATGCCTTCAGGGCTTAGAGAATCTATATTTTCTAGAAACTTTAGAAAGTCTAGAGCATCTAGACACCTTAGAAAACCTAGAGGGTTTAGAGAACCTACAGAGCCTAGAGAACCTTCTGATAATCGGAAGTCTAGGGTATCTAGAAACCCTATTAAACGTTTAGAATTTAGAAAGTTTAGAAACCATAAAAATTCTAGAGACCCTGAAATATTTATAAAGTAGTCTAGAAGCTGTAGACATTGAATTTAGTTATTATAAATCTAAAGGCTTTAGAGAGTACTAGAGAGTTCCAAAAATCTATAAAATCTAGCAACCCTAGAGTGTTTGAAGATCTTAGAGATTATGGAGACTCTAGACGAGCTAGATAGTCTAGGCAATTTAGGATTGGAGTCCGTTGACCGATGTCTGTTCATTCAGACTGCACCTAAAACAAGAAAGTGTCAGACCTTCTAGATTCTCAAAGCTGTAAACTCTAAAACAAAGGGGTCTAAATTCTCTAGATCTGCTAAAGTTTCTTAATTCTCGAAGTATCTGGAGGCCTTCTAGACCCTCTACATTCTCTGTAATCTCTAAATTGCCTAGAAGATGTGGTTGTTTAATGTCTTTATATTCTGCAAGATCTGAACACTCTAGACTTGCTACATTTTATAGATCTTCTTTGCCTAGATTTTGTTTGCTGTCTGGTGTCTAGTTTATAGACATTATGTTTAGTGGATACTCTAGATTAGCTACAATCAGCAGCCTCTCTCGACTCTCTAGGTTTCTAGGTACTCTAGAGTGTTAGTATCTGAAAATCATCAAAACGTGTAGACTTCGAAGTATCAACAGAATATAGCGTCTAGAAATTAAAGACGGCCTAATAAATCTAGATAATTTAAAGTCTAGCTAGTCTAAGGTCTGTAGACAACCTAGGCAATTTAAGGATTGGAGGATCTGGATAGAACTTAGAGAATAGGGAGTTTAAAATGTTTTCAGGGCTTAGAGAATCTATAGAATCTAGAAACTTTAGAAAGTCTAGAGCATCTAGACACGTTAGTTTGGTGCTTAGAAAACCTAGAGGGTTTAGAGAACCTACAGAGCCTAGAGAACCTTGTGATAATCGGAAGTCTAGAGTGTCTAGAAGCCCTAATAAACGTATAGAACCTAGGAAGTTTAGAAACCATAAACATTCTAGAGACCCTGAAATATCTATAAAGTAGTCTAGAAGCTATAGACACAGAATTTAGTTAATATAAATCTAAAGGCTTTAGGGAGCACTAGAGAGTTCCAAAACTACAAAATCTAGCAAGTCTAGAGTATTTGAAGATCTTGGAGATAACGGAGACTCTCAAGAAGCTAGATAATCTAGGCAATTTAGGATTAGAGTCCGTTGGCCGATTTATGTTCATTCAGACTGCATTTAAAACAAGAAAGTGTCAGACCTTCTACATTTTCAAACCTCTAAACTCTAAAACAAAGGGGTCTAAATTCTCTAGATCTGCTAAAATTTCTTAATTTTCTAAGTATCTGGATGCTTTCTAGACTCTCTACATTCTCTGCATTCTCTAAATTGCCTAGAAGATGTGGTTGTTTAATGTCTTTATATTCTGCAAGATCTGAACACTCTAGACTTGCTAGATTTTATAGATCTTCGTTGCCTAGATTATGTATGCTGTCTGGTGTCTAGTTTATAGACATTATGTTTAGTGGATACTCTAGATTAGCTACAATCAGGAGTCTCTCTCGACTCTCTAGGTCTCTAGTACTCTAGAGTGTTAGTATCTGAAAATCCTCAAAACGTGTAGATTCCGAAGTATCAACAGAATATAGCGTCTAGAAATTTAAGACGGTCTAATAAATCTTGATAATTTAAAGTCTAGCTAGTCTAAGGTCTGTAGACAATCTAGGCAATTTAAGGATTGGAGGATCTGGATAGAACTTAGAGAATAGGGAGTTTAAAATGCTTTCAGGGCTTAGAGAATCTATAGAATCTAGAAACTTTAGAAAGTCTAGAGCATCTAGACACCTTAGTTTGGTGCTTAGAAAACCAAGAGGGTTTAGAGAACCTACAGAGCCTAGAGAACCGTGTGATAATCGGAAGTGTCTAGAAGCCCTAATAAACGTATAGAACCTAGAAAGTTTAGAAACCATAAAAATTCTAGAGACCCTGAAATATCTATAAAGTAGTCTAGAAGCTATAGACAGAGAATTTAGTTAATATAAATCTAAAGGCTTTAGAGAGTACTAGAGGGTTTCAAACATCTATAATATCTAGCAAGCCTAGAGTGTTTGAAGATCTTAGAAATTATGGCGACTCTAGAGAAGCTAGATAATCTAGGCAATTTAGGATTAGAGTCCGTTGGCCGATTTCTGTTCATTCAGACTGCATTTAA